CTTGCGCTCCCTTTGGAGTGACATCAAGCCCATTTATCCTTGCTGCCACTATTAAATACCACATTAGAAAATATAAACTTGAACAAAGCGAAACTTGTGAAATGCTTGACTCGGCACTTTATGTAGATGATCTTTTTTTATGGAGCAAATACAATAGAGAAAAACCTTAGAACTTTCACAGAGCGCTGTAAAAATTCTTAAAGATGCGAACATGAATTTAAGAAAATTTAATACTAATTCGGATGAGTTGAGAAATTTATGGAGTGAATAAACGAGGTTTGTCTGATGTGACAGAAACTAAAGAACGTCCTTTGAAGGTTTTAGGCATAATATGGAACACCGAAGAAGATACTTTTAAGTTAGATGTAAAACCTCTACTGGACATGACCTGTGATAGGAAGAATTCAAAACGTAGTGTACTTCAGACAGCTTCGAAGTTATTTGATCCTATGGGAATTGCATCACCTTTTATTGTTCTCATAAAATTATTAATGCAAGAAATATGGGAACTTGGTTTAGGATGGGATGATGAGCTATCAACTGACTTGAAGAAAAAATGGGATAATTGGTGCTCCCAGATTTATCTGTTGAAAGATTTGACAATCGAAAGAAAATATCTCTCCATACCATAGTTGGTGAAAGAATTAGAACTACACATATTTTTTGACGCTTCTCCTAAAGCTTTCGGAGCAGTTGCGTACTTCCGTTACGTGTCAAGTGATGATTGTATTTATACAACTTTTATCACTGCGAAATCTAGAATCGCACCGCTTAAAAGGTTGACATTACCGAGGCTTGAACGTATGAGAGCTGTTATTTCTTCTAGACTTTTAGACTTTTCCAATATTTGAAAACAAATTTTTAAATTTCCTGTGTCCTAGGGTATATATGTGGACAGATTTCCTTAATCGCTCTTCATTGGATTAAAGGGAAAGCTTCAAAATGGAAACCTTTTGTATCGAACCGTGTATCCGAAATCCAGTCTAGAACTGATCCTGCTGATTGGAATCACTGTAGTGGGCAGGATAATCCTGCAGATTTCATATCTCGAGGAGCTACCGTGGAAAAGTTTATGTCCAGTTCGATTTGGATGCAAGGTCCAAAATGGCGTCGGTTGAAGAAAAGGGATTGGCCAAAAGGCTCTAATTATGAAATTTGTCTAGAGATTTCTCCAGAAGTATATTGCGAAAAAAGAAGTAAACTGAAAGAAGTATCGTCTTTTGTGTGAAATCGAATTTGAAGTGCAATCGAATTTGACACATTTAATGGATTTGAATAGATATAGTAGTTTAAGAAAATTATACCGTGTTACAAGTTGGATACTACGATTTATATACAACCTTAAATTTAAAACTAAACGATGTGGTGAACTAAGCACTGAAGAACTTAACGAGGCTGAAATTATCTGGACAAAAACTGTTCAAAGTGAAGCTTTTGCGGAAGAGCTGTCCTCTTTGAGACAGGGTAAAACAATTTCTAAGACTTCCTCTATTCTAGAACTGAATCCCTTTCTTAATAATGACGGGATAATGCATGTTGGTGGAAGACTTCAGAAGTCAAGACTTTCTTACCTTCAAAGACACCCAATTATTATGCCCTCAAAACATCACTTTGTGAATTTATTAGTGTGGGATGCACACAGCAAAGTGTTTCACGATGGAATTTCTGAAACTTTAATAGAAATACGTGAAAGATACTGGATAATTAAAGGAAGACAAACTGTTAAAAATATCTTAAGAAAATGTATTCTGTGTATTCCACAGAGACATTTCTTCTCTCTTTTTGACCATTCATTGCTCGTCGAGGTCTATGTTCTCAAGTTTTGACGGACAATGCCAAAACTTTCAAACGATCGGAACTTGAACTTAAAAATATGTGCACTGTCATTAGTCATCCAACAGTAAAAGACTTTTACGCCTCCCACAAAATCCAATGGTGCTACATCGCTATTAAAGCTGTGTGGTGGGATGGCTTCTATGAAAGACTAATTAAATCTGTAAAACTTGCTTTACGAAAAACTCTAAGAAAAACTACTTTATCTCGAGAAGAGTTAGAAACTCTAATTATTGAAATTGAAGGTGTTCTTAACTCTCGTCCTTTAACTTATGTTTATTCTGAATTACAGGAACCTATGCCTCTAACTCCAGCTCATATGCTATTGGGGCGCAGAGTGAATAGTTTGCCTCCTGCCAGGCTTCATTTTGATTCTAATTTATTTAATAGGAAAATGCTAATTAAAAGATTTAATTATCGAGAAAGATTGGTAAGTATGTTTTGGAATAAATGGAAAAATGAATACTTATTAATGCTGATATCTGTTCATTGTGTTAAACCTTCAGGTAAAATTACTGAATTTAAAGTTAATGATATTGTATTAATTCACGATGAAAAGCTACCTAGACATTTTTGGAAATTAGGAAGAGTTGTAACAGTATTTCCTGGCAGAGATAGAAAAGTAAGGTCTTGTGAAATTAAAACAGGTACATCAGTTATTAAAAGGCCTGTGCAGCTTTTATATAATCTTGAAATAAATGAATAAATTTAATTGTTTATTATATGTTTATTAATCTGTATTATTGTTACAGAACTATTCCATATATGTGATGAAAGTTTAATGTATGTACAGGTATTGAGTTGCCAGCTTATTATCTTTATTATACTTTATTGCAAGTAACTTTACAAATTGTTTAAAGATGAATGATTTGTTTATATAGTAAATAAGTGTAGTTTCTTTAATATGTGAATTGATTGAACTTTACATTGTAAGAGTTTCTTTTGTTAAATGTGTATTAATGCAAGTGTTTGAATGAACCTCTGGTCATTCGGGGGGCAGTCTGTAGAAACTGTATTGCACCAGATGGCGCTATGTGCGCTTAAATTCTTCGGACTAGTTCAGAACCTTGATGATTGCGAGAGATGTAACACCAACGCGAAATATTAACCAAAGTTTATATGTGCTTCTCTTTGTTGTAAATGTATTTAATTGTGTCATCAATAAAATGTGTAGAAAATGATAAAAGGCGAGAATGCGTCTGACAGGTAAGTGAGATTTGTTTATATATTGATTTGAATTGAGTTTTAGCGACAAAGAATGTATATGCGTATTTACATATGTTACCTAATATTGCAGTCAGAAATGAAGCAGCAGTCCCTCGTTATAAGCGTAGTAAGGAAAGGCTGACAATTTAGCATGTAGTAATGCTGCAGCAAACATCAAAATGAACCTCATAATGATAGGAAAGTCACAAAATAATAGAGCCCGTAAAATGGTTTAAAAAAAAACACTCTTCCTGTAACATTGTCAGAAAAATGTATGGATGAGCAGTGGAATTTTCAAAGACTGATTCTTTAACTTCAACAGAAATGCAGTTTAAAGAAAGTAATTTACAGAAAAACTGTTTTTTTGCTAGGCAATGCAACTTGATCCAAACAAACTTCAAGAAGATGACATTACGATTATGACTTTTCCCCTCAACATAACCGCCAAATAAAGCTATGGATCACAGTATTTTATAAATGATAGAAAGGAACTACTACAGGAAGCTACCTAGACTGCATGGATTTGCACTGACAAAAGGGCTATAACAACTGCAAAATTATGGAAGAGATGGCTAAGTGATGATGAAAGTATGAAAACAGAAGTACAGATGAAACCAAAGAAACCATTCTACCGCTAGTTCAATATATCCCTGGACATGAAGGTGCATCATTCCAAGAAATTGAAAGTTGAGTGAAGAATGATTATCAGTATGAAATAACTGATGAAGAAATTGTTGCACTTGTCAGTTGTGCTGAAAATGAAACTGAAGATTAAGGTCAAACTCCAACTATTGAATACTGCAGAAGGTCACACTGTAACAGAGTTGAGGCTCTAGAAACTACGATTAAATATATCGAGCAACAAGAAGCAACAGGAATTGATATAATGAAAGATTGCAAAACTTAGTAGGAAGAAATGGCACTTCTCAAGAAAGCAGACTAAGATCAAATTTGTTTTTTCAATCGTAACAGAACTGAACAAAGTACAGTACGTACTGTATTTAACTTGAGACAATTCTATGACTATATGTTTTCAAATAATTCTTCTTGTTTTGTTGTAAAAGATGATTATTAGGCTCATAATATATAAAATTATACCATGTTTTGATTTTATTAGCCTTTTCTTATTACATCCCTATTATCCTACATTCTACCTGCCCATTTATGTTGGATATACAAGACTCTATTGTACTGTTGGCTATTAAAACTGCAAAAGAAGCAACTCACTTACATGAAATTTATGTAATTGATAAAAGCATGGCTGAACAGGTACAACACCAGAATTTCAGAACAGGACAGGACACCAGAATTTCACCATTGCTTGTACTGGTATAGTTGCGCTGCACTAACTATGCAACTTTACCCCAATTTTAATGCTGAATAACCTGGCCTGGGGGAATCTGAAGGCCTTCTATTCCTCTTCTCCTGTTACCAAATGGCTTGGGGAGACTTTTAGCCTGCTAGTATTTTGAATGAGCCCCTGCTGCACAAACAACCTTTACATTTACAATTACCCATGTCTTCTCTCAGATTTGAACCTGGGTTAAAGGCATATAAGCTAGTGTCACAAATCATTACACACATAATGTAGTCAGAAATCATCATCAATCACATATCATGAGTGGCAGCATGGCTGAACATGAAACGATTAGCAACGCAGCATGTACACAAATAATGAGAACCTGCAATCCCATTTAGAATCAGGATTAAGAGAAGCAAAAAGGCTGGATTTTCCATAGTGGAATTTTGTTTCCTCCTTATTTGTTTTAATAGCAATGCATAGCAAGAATAGCAATGCATAGCAATGAATAGCAATGCATAGCATTGCCTCAAGCAAGAAACATACAGTAGCATGTATGACATTGGTCAAAATATGACAATTCATACAAATATGAAGCTGATAGATCCAAAAAGTATGTATAATAAAGATGATCTGTAGAAGGATTTAATTATATACATACTTCTTCTTGTGTTTTTGAACCTTTAACATCTTGATGAGTAGCTAAGATAACACATGGAACACCTTTTAATGAGCTAGCTGAAATGACTTCATGTAAAATTTTTACAGCTTCTTTTAAACTCTCATCATCTGCAGCTGCATCTATAACATACAGAATGCCATGCTGTCCTTCAAAATATTTATTCCAAAATGGTCTAATTACATCTGAACCTGGAAAAAAAAAATACCATACAATTATTTATAAATTACACATTGAAATATCTTCAAGCTACTTCATTTAAAAAATAAAGGTTAAACCTTACCAATAAAGATTAGAAGGAAAAGGAAAAATCAAATTAAAGATTGAACATGAGTACTTAACAGAAGTTTATGCTGGAAAATCACCGATTTTTTAATCCGATACTAATAATTTGAACACAGACTGGAATGGCAGTACATAGGCTAGTAAAATAACTCCTTTCACATAAATATGCTCAATACATATGCTTATACACATACATCCTACAAATAATGACAAAATCATGGTGTTCATAAATTTGTTTTGATGATGTATTAAACATTTTAAAAATTAAAAATACCAACCAGAATCTATCACGAATTTATTTCATAAAAGGTACACTATATTCCTTAATTTATTACATGCTATGAAAGGGAAACTGAAATTCATCTTTCTGTTAAAATTATACAGTATAATCCATTAAGAAGTTTTTCTCAGTAAGTCTTATATTCAAAATAACAAATGATTTTCACTAAATATCCAGCTTTCTACTTATGCTTTTAACAATAAGTCTAATTTTAGATTACTAGAATATGTATTTTTATAAAATTTTATAAGTTTAGTAAATTTTAAAAAATTGTATTTAAAAAATATACTCTTCAAAGATGAAAAATCCTTGAAAGTTTTTAGTATTGTTTTTTTGTCAAGTGACAAATCGCTTGCCACTAATGAACTATTATTACAAAATATTGTGATACACAGGATTTCCTGACGACTGAAAAACAAAAGTTTCTAAGCATTTTGCATGTTTTTCAATTAATCTAGTTAATACAGATGGGCAGCAAGATGCTGGTTACGACAGTAAATGAACCGATAAAATTAATCAAATTAAGAGTAAACTTGTACTATATTCTGTATACATTTACTGAATACAAAACCTTGCACATACACATATCACAAAAAAAGGAAAGAAAAAAAAAAAAAAAAAGAGCTGGAACTACTGTAGTTATATGTACTACATTAAAGCCTTTAATGACTGCAATAAAATGTTTGGCTGATGTGATTGATTACCTCACAAACAGTAAACCTGACCAACCTTTTTAAAACCACTGAATCAAAAATTAATCATCCATAATTAATGGTACAAAAAGTAAAAACATAACCACTGCTTTGTTTCTTGCCCAATCATTTTTTACGAGACTATAAGCTATACATCAAAGATTTAAGTAAGCAGCAGTTCATCAAATAAACACTTAATATAACAGCTCTACCAAAGAAAGGAAGCCCAAACAGTCATTATGAAGAAATTTTCAAAGGAAGGCATTGGCCCACAATGGACTACCTGTCCACCTACGATGATGATGAACTAAGGGGGGGGGGGGGTATTCTGCTGATAAATCTCACCATACAATGATATGAATGGGCTTTTACAGCAGACTACCCATCTGAGCCTTGCTCATTCCTACATGACCAGGGCAAGGGCTGGTGCAAGCATGCTGGGCTGCAAAATTTAAAAAGGAATCAAGTGGTAGAATTTAGGACCTGCACATATTGCAATGGATGGCATAAAGTCTAGTGCATCTCGCTTATAAAATTCCCGTTCAGTGGAATGAAATGGCTAAATGTGTACTCATATTCAGGGATATATTGTACTCATATTTCAGGGATAAGCCTACTCTGATGAATCCAACTGATGCATGCCAGTTCACAGTCTAGATTATAGCAACAAAATCATGAAGCAATGGAGCCAAGATGATTACTATCAAATACATAACAATCTGAAGAACTCTGATTAATAATGCAATAGTCTGGACAGTGTTTCTTTCAAAATCTGTCCTTAATAAAGCTTTGATTTTCTTTAACATACGCTTTTAAATACTCTGAGTTGTTTTAGCATCTCTACCTACAAAACACATATCAATATGCATAGCATTTTCCTGAAAGATGGACCTAAAACAAGATAGATGAAATCCTTCCACCAGTCTGGATGGAAGTATCTGCAAAATGACAGCTGAAGTTTCCATGGTATACTGAAATCATGCTACTTGGAAGCAAAAACATGGCTCAAAATTTTATTAAATATATTTTCCTAATAATTTCATACAGCATGTTATTATTGATACTTATGCTAGATTTTATATAAAAAATGAACTTATAATAAAAAGTAGAACATTAGAAAGAGAAAGGAAAAACTCTTAGGTACTGAAACAGTTTTGCACTACCTCCATAATTAAAAAAAAAAAAAAAAAAAAAAAGGTAATATTAATCAATGAGTGGCAGAACAGAAATTTTACCACATTAGAATTGTATTATGTCAGAATCACTTAAATCGCTTCTTTGATTGCATGCAAGGGATTCAGTTAATACGATCTATCTTAAAATTTTTTTGGGCATTATATAGCATAAACATTCCAGCTAGACACTCATTTAAGTCTTCTTATGCACCCATAAGCACAAAATAAACAAAACAAATGGAATGAAAAGATCCAATCCATATATCTTTATATATCTATCTATCTATATATATATATATATGATATCTGATATACATAGGCTATTCAGAAAGTAAGGAACATTTCTGTCTGACGTCACTAGGCACACGCCGATCACATATATTTTGGTGTCTGCATGCTCAGCATCTCAGTCGGCGTTCAGCCATCACAACGGAAACATTTCCAAGCTACCTGTTTTTTCGATATTCAAATTTAAAATGTGCGCTGCAATTGAAAATTCTGCCAGTTGTGAGGTGCGGTCTGTGATACAGTTTTTGTTGGCAAAAAACCTAAAACCTATGGAAATTTATTGGCAAGTGTGTGAAGTGTACGGAAACAACGTAATGAATGAAAGTTCAATCCGGAAATGGTGCATTCAGTTTAAAATTGGCCGAACTAACGTTCACGATGAAGAGAAGCGTGGACGCCCTAGCATTGTGACCGATGAACTGGTCACTAAAGTTGATGAAAAGATTTATGAAAACCGCTGTTTCACAATAACGGAGCTTTCACTTAGTTTTCCACAGGTTTCACGGACTTTGTTGTTTGATATTGCCACACAAAAGCTAGGCTACCGCAAATTTTGTGCTAGATGGGTGCCGAAATTGCTTATAGACAACTATAAAGGTCAGAGAATGGGGGCAGCTTTGACATTTCTGGAGGCCTATGACAGACATGGCAATTCATTACTGGATCGAATCGTAACTGGTGACGAGACGTGGGTGAGACACATGAATTGCGAGACAAAATTACAATCCATGCAGTGGGGGCACACAAGTTCCCCCAAAAGACCAAGAAAATGTTTGCAAACCTTGTCACCAAAGAAGATTATGGTGACTGTGTTTTGGGATAGGCAAGGTGTGCTTCTGATTGATTTTCTCGTACGTGGTGCCACAAAAAACTGTGAGCGGTACTGTCAAACTTTGCACTACCTTAGGAAAGCAATTCAAAACAAGTGCCAAGGAAAGTTCACGTCCAAAATTTTGTTTTTCCACGACAATGCCCAACCTAACACGGCAAACCGCACTCAAGAACTCCTTAATTCATTCAAATGGGAGGCTTTTCCTCATCCGCCCTATAGTCCCGATCTTGCACCTAGTGATTTTCACTTGTTTCCGAGAATGAAGAACTGGCTAGCAACACAGCGATTTGACGATGCCAAGGAGCTGCGGGTGCACGTCACTGAGTGGCTGAGATCGCAGGTGGCAGAATTTTATGACAAAGGAATTTAAAAGCTTGTCCACCACTATGATAAGTGCCTCAATTTGTTTGGTGACTATGTAGAAAAGTAGAATTTTAGTCGCTCTTTCTGATGCATATAATATTTTTTTTTCCTTGTACTTAGTTTCTTTTTAATTCCAAAACATTCCTTACTTTCTGAATATCCCTCGTAGTTTTTATAACGCATCTATCAACTTAATTGTCAGATTTGACTGAGTGAAACTGTGATTAAAATTTTAGAGCACTTATGATGATGATGTAAAAATGCAAAAATTATGCAAAAAAGAATTACTGATTACATATAAAGTATTACTAATATCAATTTAATGTCAAAATAAATATTTTAATTATTATAAATATCTGTAATTTTCTTTTGTCACAGTTAATACATATATTTCAGTGACACTTGGGCTTGTTTCTATGTACATCAGTTTTACATCTGTATCCATTGGTAAAAAAAAAAAAAAAAAAAACTGCACACACTTCATGGTCAAGATTTTTATTAAATTCTTCTTAGCGAGCACAGAAAAGAAACTTGGTTTACACATGTATATTATACCAATTGGAAAAAGAATGTTTATAGTTTTTTAACGGGTGGATAGAAATTCCATTTCTGCAATTACTCTCAGAACTGAGACTTTGGAACATACCTAAACTTTTAACTTCAAGGATACAATAACTTTTTAATTCTAGTAATCTTTTTTTTCTTTCACATAAATGAAATGCCATATGATCTAGTGAAGGCACACATGAATTTTGAACTCAAGCGAATTTCTTTGTCTTCGTTAATTCATAGCAGTGTTAAAGCTTTCTCTCTTCACAGATTTTGATCAAGTTCTATTAGGATCAACAAGTTTTTCGGATTCGCATTACAATGCCAAATAATCATTTCAAAGGAACCATTCTTCATCACATTTTTCCCAAATTGAATATTTTTCAATCTGTTAATTTTGATAGATGTAATATTTCTAAGTGGTCATTACATTTTTTCAATTAAGTTCATTTATGTATTCAAATATATTTAGCTAAGTAGGATATTTTTTGCAACCAATTACTGTCTTAGTTGGATACTGAGAATTATCCTAAAAAATTCTTTCAATTCCTTCAAATCATGAACTCTGTGCACAAATCTTTTCCTTCATACCCAATGAATTTCACTATGGAACAATAAAGATCGATATTCTGATTCCATTTCATCCCATAAATTAATTTAGCATCATCATCTCATATTGAGGATTTTTCAGTTCAGTTTTTCATTTCACACCACTGTGTCATGGCACATTGGCTGGGAAGTACAGCTTTAAACCGCTAAAATGCTTTAATTTGCTCTATACAGTGATGACGACGTGTTACAATCACAAATAAGAGTCACTATGACCTTGAAGTGCCATTTTATATCAAAAATAGTATAAAAAGCAATTAATATATCATCAAGAAAAATTAAAGTAATGCACAGACAGTGAAGGCAGGTACCTTCAATGCATAATCATGTCTGATGGGTACTTTTCTGTTATGCACCTGCCACATATACCGACAGGTTTATGAATTGTAAGCATACAATTTAAAGTATTAAATTAAACATATATGCACAGGTGCTATCTACTGTTTCTGGTTGTGCATTTGGCTTCTTTTTCACTGGCACTAAAAATTAAAGTAATGCAGAAACAGTTAAAGCTGAATATCTTCACTGCATAATCATGTTATTTTTTATAAGATAGAGTGTTTTGTGTTTGTTCTAAATTAATTTTGAAATAAATTCATATACAGCTCGCATTTCTTTACATACAATGCATGTATATCTTTTCAAATGATTTATAGTCTACAACTTTATTATATAACTATTTGCAGTTAAAAAAGAAAGAATAGGATGATTAAATTAAATCAGGTTGAGATAACTAAATAATATTAACAGATATTAACTATGACATAACAGAAAACTGAAATGATGCTATATTATATCAATAAATTAGAATAAAGAAAAACAACATATATAAAAGTAATACCTCCCAGTTCTTTGATATCCACAACTGTGTCTTTCAGAGGCAGTGTTTTGATATTGAACCCTAAACAGAAATAATAAAAGTGAGTAATAAATAACAGAAACCTAAACAAGGAAAAGGGGCTAAGTGACAAATGTCAAATTTTAGAGCAAGAGCAAAAAACTATCCCATTCTGCATCAGAATGCCAGATGTCAACAACAAAAAAAATATGAGACAGATATAACTATGATCCATGTAATCCAGTATTATTTAAACAATATAGTTGTTCATGGATCCTCATAAAATATCAGCCCAAATCTCCTTTCTACAACTTGTGACAGTCCCCCCCCTTGATTTGGCCTAAAATAGGAAAAACACTCATTGTTATGAAAAATGTGTTGCTATAATGAAAACAAATGTCCTGGTAAGATAATATAACTTTAGAAAAATTGAAAGTAAATTAGGTATAGTCTATTATTAAAGTAAAATAATAATAATAATAATAATAAAGTAACAGCATTACATTTAAATTGTATTTTGTTAGACAAACAAGTCTGAATGTATTGAGAAGCTTTACAAATATACTAATAAACAATAAGCAGAAAAAGAAAAAAAAAATGTTCCCAATAATAATAAAACCTTAATCGTTTCCATTACCATTTTCCTTGCCACATTCTACACCTATTGTCAGTCACTGCATGATGTCATTATAAAAATCTATATTTTGTGAAGGTATGTACTGAATACATGTTTGAACATCCATGATCTTTTCGTTAATTGAATTCTTTCCTTCCTTCAGTAAAGGCTGTCTGGACCTGCAATCATGGGAGTGCTACAAAGTTTTCTTACAGCAAAGGTTATCTCATCTCTAATGCATATTAAAGGAAATGCCTTGATTTTACATGAGTCAGAGATGATAAAATGCCACATTAAAGATACCTTAAAGGTTACTGTATCTTTTTTTCTGATATGCCTGCTGTACCTTTTGTCTGATAAACGAGTCTTTATAGCAACCCCCCCCCCATTTCTTAATTTGATCAGTGCCTAACAGTGGATAACAGTTTAAGAATGGAAGTGATTTGGCAAAACATCAAGCAGAGTCTTCAATGTAAGTATCAATGGCAAAATGGGCTCTGAAGCAAATAAAAATTATACCTATCTGAAGAGTTCAAACACCAAAAAACCCTCATTGAATGAAGAAAAGCCTGGAACAAAGTCTGACAACATCACAACGCAATTTATATGCGCAAGTAAGGATTGAAAGATCACTGTGTTGAAAAGCTTATCAAAAGGTACCTGCACCTGTATCCTTACATACATACAGTTATGCATAAGTTAAAGCCTCCAGACAAACTTGCACTTGTTGATTTCTGCCAGTGATTGCTACCTGAAGTGAAATCAGCCTTTTCGGATACTCAATTTTTCATTTCTTCAGATGAGGCCTGGTTCAGCCTGTGGGATCATGTGAACTCACATAACATATCCAACTTTGCATCAGAAAATCTCCATCAGTATTTTGAAAAGATTTTGCATAATCTCAAGCTTGGCTTTGGTATGCAATGTCTGGATTCCACATAACATGATTCTTTCACCAAAGTGTTAATGCTGACCAGTATGTCCTAAATCAGTTTAATCTATTTGTAGACTAAAGAAGATGAATGATTGTATGGATATGTTTAACTAGACAAAGCAACAGCACACACAGCCATGACCACCTTGTCACGAGTGAATGAAGTGTTTGGTGAGGAGAGAACAATCAGCAGAGGCAGTGCAACCTCCTAGCCACCTCAATCACCTGATTTCTACCCCTGTTATTTTTAGCTCATTGGCAAATTGAAGGGTCAGGTGGTGTATTCAAATAATCTTCAGCTGCTGGAAGAGCTGCACCAGAACATTGGAAACGCTACTGTTGATATCCCTCAGACAAAGCTGCTACATGTGTCTCACAGTTTGATAAATCAAGCGCAATGCTGCATTGATGCCGACGGTGGTCATTTCCAGTATTTTCTTGAATGGGAAGTTCTCCTGTTTATCAAAAAGGGTCAATTCCGCATAAATCTTATACAGTCAAAAGTTTTTAATCCGGACTTGTCGGGACTTCGGCGATTCCGGATTATAGATCATCAGTTTAAATCTGGTAAGATGGCATGCAGAAATTATAAAATTAAAAATATGAAACCATAATTCATGAAATAAAGAGCAATTATGATCTAAAGGGTATCAAAATTTACAAAAAAAAAAAGCTTAATATTTATTTGTTTACATCATTAAAAATTTCTTTCAACACGCGCATGCGTAAAGCATACATTATGCATAGTCGAAATTAGAAATAATATACATCACACATAGTCAAAATTAGAAAATTGCAACCAGAAAACTATTTGATGTGTATTTGTGATATTTATATTGACGAGGAATTCGATTTAAATCATATCAAAGACGGAGTACATCGAGATGAAATACTACATTTAGTAAGGAATTATAAGCCGAATAAAATAAAAACATCTGCCATGAAGATAAGGATAGCGCTGGCAGATCAACTTCCAGTTCATTGCACACCACGACTTTCCCCCCTTCCCCTCAGAGCAGCGTGAAATTGATAAACAGATTTCGGAATGGTTAGAGAAACAAAGGATATGCCTTTATCCATTTTTTGCAGCAATTCCACTTTTTGTTTGATTGACATCGAAACATGCTTTTGCTTTGTAGATCCTTTGGCAGCTCCAGAATCGGAAATTCTTTTTGATATAATCGAAAGTTCAAGCTTACTTTATAAAATTACTCTAAAAGACTGCAAAAAATAATAAGCCAGATCCAATTAGAAGATTAAGGAACAACGCAATCTGCAACATTAACTGATATAGATAATTAGATAATTTTAGCTTAGCTTATACCGTCCGTTATACATTAAACACATATGTGTAAATGTATTAAGTGCATGCGTAAAGGTATTATACGCATGCGCAGAAAGTTTGTAGCTTTGAGGTCCGGATTATAGATTCCGGATTATGGACATCCGAATTAAAGACTTTTGACTGTAATTATTTTCTGAGCCAGTTTTATTTTGCCTACTCTGTATATTGCTGCATGTGTACAGGGTTCGTAATAGATTAAACAGACATAGGTCTTATGAGAGGTTAATAAAATTTATTTTTATCAAAGGAAAAGATAATTTTTATTAACCTGTCATAATTTTGTTTGTTTATATGTTTATTTAAATTTTACTCTGCTTTAATTAATTGTTCATTTATGTAAAAAAAATTTTTTTTCCTAAATTACGCTAGCATTGTAACTTCACTGGCCGTCCCTTCGTTTCCTGTTTTAGCCGTCATGACTTCCCCCCTTTTTTGTTTTAAGTTTACAAAGCTTTCTCTTTCCATTTCGCCTTCCCTCTCAGCCCCTTTTAGTAGATAGGCTTTGCTTCATTTCGCCTGTTACCCTTCTTTTATGCCAAGATCGGCACCAGAAAGGCACAGTTTCAAGATGGCTGCTACACAAAACCAAGATAAGAAGTCAAAGAATTGCACAAATTTGTGTCTATGTACACTGCTCAACACTGAAAATGCAACACCAAAAAGGAGTGGTCAGAAATTTATGGAAATTTTAGAGTAGAAGCATGTCACTGAGTTATGCGAATGATGTGAAATGCGCAGCTCTCTGATGCACGTGAAGTAGGATATAAGGGAAGGAACGTGCAGAATGGGCAATATTCGTGTCGTTATTTCTGCCAGATGAATTATCGAAGAAAGCTGGGTTTTGTCCCGGAGGATACGTGTAATAGGAGAGAATGCCAGGCCGCCGTCAACGAAGGCACTTCCAGCAGATAGACGATTTTATGAAGGATATGGTGATGGGACTGAGAAGGGTGGGTTGGTCCTTACATCAAATTGCAGCTGATACCCACATGGATGCAAGCCTGGTGCATCGGTTATGGCAAACATGGTTGAAACGAGGAAATGTGGGAAGAAGGAGGGGTGCAGGTGCAGCCAGAGTGACGTCAACATGCTTGGATCGACGCATCCGCCGATAAGCTGTGGCGGTCCTGCAAGTCACTTGTACCGCAATTCTGTAGCATGTGCAAGATACCCTGGATGTTCCCGTGTTGACCAGAACCATTTCCCATCGATTACTCTATCACTCTGTACCTTGATTCAGTGACAGTCGCTGACATGTGTGGCGTCAACGTGGAGACAGATCTAATCTGTCAGTAACTGTGGAACGCCCCACCGTGCGACAATGTGGCATAATGGTTTAGGGCGCTATTGCCTACGATTCCAGGTCACCTCTAGCTCGTATTCAGGGTACTATGACAGCCCAACGATACTTGGATAATGTACTGCGGCCGGTGGCAATCCCCCTACCTTCAGAGGCTGTCTAATACAGTTTTTCAGCAGGATGATGCTCGACCACACAGTGCTCTCATCTGCCAACATGCTCTGCAAGGTATGCAGATGCTTCCCTGGCCACCATACTCTTCTGACCTGTCACCAATCGAACATGTGTGGGATGTGATTGGACGCCGTTTGCAGACTCTGCCCCTGCCTCGTTCAGAAGACGATCTGTGGCAAATGTTTGAAAGGAAATGGAGAGCCATCCTTCAGGACGCCATCCGCACTCTTATTGACTCTATGCCTTGACGTGTTTTTTTGTGCATCGCTGTCAGCAATGGTCCTACATCTGCTGAACCAACGCCATTCTTGCTCTGTATTCTGATTATCATTTTGAAATAAAGATCACTTATTGCTGCTTGCTGTCTCTATCGTTTTTCCAAATTCCACTCCTTCTTGGAGTTGCATTTTCAATGTCAAGCAGTGTGTACATCGATCTATTTTCACTTGGAAAAACATCAGGGAATTGCACAAACTAGGCATTGCGCACTGACTTTACTTGATGTACACATCGATTGTACATCAAGTAAAGTCAGTGCGCAATGCCTAGTTTGTGCAATTCCCTGATGATTTGATCTATTTTCACATAAAAAAAATCAGGAAGCTATCATGGCAATCAGAAATGGGGTTTCATAGCCAAAACTGAACAAAATTTGTTGCCAATCAAAGGGACACACAATTCTACACTAGAGCCCAATTTTTTATTTATTTTTTTAATGGTCATTTTTCTTTTTCTTTTACTTCTATATTTGCAAAAAATCATTCTAATAATATTACAAGCAGAGCATTTGAAAACGTAGTTCATACAAAATTACAACACTGATTGAAGTATTAAAAAGTTACACTGATTTGATTTTAACCACAAAATACATATATCACTGAGATCATTCTCAAAATTCATCAATGCTGCCATACTCTAAAACTTTTGGAATTTCCAGAATTTACACTTAAATATACATTTAATTAAATATTTTGTACATAAACTTGCAAAAAACTTTAAAAGATATAAAATGTTATTTGCATTAAATTTAGAATTTAATTACCTTAAGATTTTCAAAAAAATAAACAGCTTTTTTAATTAATTTTTATATTTAACCCACTGTGGTTAAGAGGGGAGTTTTGAAAATGTAACTACAGTAATTCAGACTATTGCAAATGATCTTCCTTTGTATAACTGGCTTTTGTTTTCTTACATACATTAATGTTTGCCAAATATACAGATCATGTCATGAATAAATGGTATTTTCCTGATTACAATTAAAAAATTACTCTATCACTCTGTACCTTGATTCTTTTTCTTCCAATATTCATCCAATCTAAAATCTGATATATTAAAAGTTCGCAGAAATGAATACGAAAGCCACCCTTCTATACGGAATTTTCCGTCTATAATGCTGAGAGGGTTAAAGACTAGAGACCTGAAGCTAAAAACCTACTATCATGTTTTTCTTCCAAATATTATTCATATTACTAAAAAAAAAACTGATGCTTACACCCCGACTTGCTTTTATGACCTATTGAATTATGCAGATTTTTTGCTGCATTTCATTTAAACTTATTTTCTTGAATTATTCTAACTTAATTAATCAATTCCTCACAGCAAGTTGAAAAAATCATCAAAAACTACAAGTTTTGAAATTAAATAAAGGAATATTTTTTTCTTGTATGGATGGCTTTTTTGTCGGATTTTGGATAAGAAGTATGCTGTTATTTTGTGGTTTACATGGCAAAATAGCTGAGTGTGATAAGATTAATTTGAAGTTTCTGTATGATTTGGAACAAAAGGGAAAACAACATTAATTGCCTGGTGTGTAAATGAAGGTTCGCTTAGTAGCCATTATAAATGTCCTGTTTGTAAGAAGAAAATGCGTATGGTCGAAGGTTATTTTTTACTCTTATTTTTGTAAATTTATGCGGCGATGCCAGTATACAGATTCTAGTTCAGATAATTTTAGGAAGTTTTTGGATGTTGTTAAGGAATTTTGTTTGATTGAAGACATGGAAATTTTTAAATAAGGCAGGTGGACACTTCTTTTGTGTAATGCAAAGATGAATTTCTTTTTTTATGTTATTTCATTGTTTGATTTAAAATGTAGTTTATTGAGATGATATATTTTTTGTTGGCTGCTTCTTTGACTTTTTAAATGAATATAGATCGATGTGTACATGGACAAGTCAACAAAGTGACAATGCCTAGTTTGTGCCATTCTCGGGTTTTTTTTTAAAGTGAAAATAGGTCGATGTGTACATGGATACCAAATTTGTGCAATTCTTTGACTTGTTATTTTGGATTTGTTTAGCGGCGCTACACAAAACCAAAATAAGTCAAAGAACTGCACAAACTTGGTATCCATGTACCACTAAAAATCGCTAATTATCGCCAAGGGGCACCTGCTTTTGTTATTGGAATTATATGACTACGAATGATTGCAAAAGTACAGCCCAGGTAAGAACTTTTAAGTTATGGAAGTGAAGTAAGTATATATATATATAAGTTCTGTACTGGTAATTGCAAAAAAAGGGAGGTATACAACTATATAGCAGTCTCGTGTACAAAATTTTCACGTTCTTTGGCTATTCTTTTTGAGTTATGATGTACGTATCATAAAAAATCTCTTCTAAATCGATTTTACAATACATCCTGGAATAAAGAATCCTTTATTCTATCCGTACATACAGATGTCACGAAAATAAAATCGTCCAAATGGACTCAGGAAGATCAAAACGGATATTTCTATTCAAATATAATACTCGAAATGTTTCCGCGATTACAATACAGGAAGTAAAAAAAGGGGTTTTCATCCGCAGAGAACCCGTTGGCGCTTCGAGAAAGAACCCGTTGGCGCCGTTGCATTTTTACTCGCCAAGCTCGATGAGCCGAGCCGTAAACGTGGTTTTTAGTGTATGTAAATTCAAGTTAGCAGACAATGGTAGTAAAAATTCACAGATAATAAGTATGTAGATGTAAAACTAACAGGTTAAACGTGATATACGAAAATAAATTTGTATTAAATTCAAGTTAGCACAGAAAACAATGTATTAAGCATAACGGGAAGTACAAATTCATTTAAAAAATAAAAATTAGTATTGTTATACTTACGTTTACATTATACTTATATGTATTTTCTCTAATTCATATAGAATACTAATATTTCTATTGCAAGTGTCATTTTTCATTATTAAGTACTTGGCCTGTTGATTGATGTATTTCAGTAAGAGCCATGCCCATGTAATAAATTAATGAATGCATGACCTTTAATACATCCATTTTACATAGTTTTCAGTATTTTTTTTTTTTTTTTTTTTTTTTTTTTTTTTTTTTTTCAAGTTACTTGCATACAGCTTAAAGCATTTTACGTTGCAACAAATACCTGTCCTTTTTCATAATATATTTCACAATACAAATAACCTTCAACAGTAATGAAATTTTCTTCAGTAGCATTGTTAAGTTAATAAAACTAGAACTTCTATACATTTAAAAAAATTATTTTTCAGGTCATTTGGAAACCTCATGGTTCTGCATGCTTACAGCTGTTAATAATTAAGAACATAACGTGAACAGCATGTTACAAATTAGCATTCACTCCTCCCGCCATATTTTCTTCCTTTGATCCCGAACTGACGAGCCTAGAACCAGCATCTTTCGACGAAAACTTCTTTAAGTATGCGAAAATATTTCTATCTATTCGTTGTTAAAAAATTCAGAAAAAATAACAATAAATAAGAGAAGAATAATATAAATCTCCAAATGCGAACAACGACAACCTTCGCACAAGCGAATAAGATGAATTAGCTAGGTTACCATGTTTGAACTATTATCGCCAAAGTTGGCGATGTTCACATTTACCAGGTTCTCTGCGGAAGTGCTTCCAAAAAAAGTACTGTAAATACTCCACCTCTTCATTTATATAACTTTAAAACATAAAAATTACTGTATATTCCAATCATAATTAAAAAGCTTATTTATAAACGATATAAAAATCATATTTAAGAATTATGACAAGTCATATAAAAACCTGTTGTAGGTTCTACATTTGAAACTGATTCGCCGACTAATGTTGCCAATGCTGTCGTTTTTCCAGCACCCTTAAGTCCAAGACACAAAACTTCGTACTGATCTCTTATGATAATAACTGGACGATAACAACTCAACCACTGCCAACACTACAAATAAACGAAATAAATATGTTAACTACGTTTCATATTTAGATCAGAAATGGGTTTATTATGTACAAAACAGATTGATTTAAAAATGTAAAGCACAATATTTATATATATATAGATAGAGAGAGAGAGAGACCTTCCTCATTCCGATTCTACAAGCTGCGAACCCAAATTGGACGTTATCGAATACCTTGGGCATTCTCCAATTAAATAATTATAAGTAATGTTAAACGCTTTCCAAACACACTAAAATCAGTTCGCGCCATATTTTAGATTTGCCCTTTCAAACCTGTCAATACACCGGCAAACAACAAATAACGTTACAAACTGGTTGCCATCACAATTGATATAAAATTAAAAAATCAAGTTAATCAAATGAACACACACACAGACACACACACAAAAAAAAAAAAAAAAGAAAAGAAAAGAAAAGAAAAAAAAGGGGGCAGACAAGGTAAGAATCAGTTAGCTAATGCCGATAGTATAAATGTGCCTTTACCAAAGCATACTTTTAAATCTTTGATAAAGATTTTAGTTTGCTCGCCTGCCGTAGTTGGTATATGTAGTGTGGTGATAGATAGCGATAAGGAGCGTGCCTTGCCAGTACCTGCTACATACATGGCCTTGGCCTTGATGTTGCTGCCGGCAACTCTAAGGAGAAATTTTTGGTTTAGTTTATTCATGGAAATAGGAAGGTATTCTTACCTGAGTTTATTTCATTATGGCAAAATACTCGAGAACTATCTGCCTAAATAGAGGAATGCCTTCGTGGAGGATTTTCTAAGAAAACCTGGCTCGTATACACGTTACACATGAGGAAAATCACGAAAACGCCTATGCAGCTTGCCCGTTTGCGATAGAGACCGGCTGTCGAGGAGTAGTACGCATATTTGAAGTCTCGAAATAAATATAAATTTTTTATTGTATATTATGTCTTATTAAAGTTTTTGATAAATAAGAATAGCAAGAACATTCGATGATGGACAACGAAGATCAAGTGAATACCACAATGGTTTCTACTCTAGCATGATTAGGACATTGACAGGAATAATGAACCATCAGCTCATGTAGCATTTCAGTGCAAAAATGAGAACTGTGTTCAACTTTGACATAGAAGCTTTGGTCACAGAAACGATGACACGATCAAACAACTTGTAAGCAAAGAACTCGCTGAAGGAATTAAACTAGATAATTGTAAACATGATACCGAATGCATTCAGTGCATAAAATGTAAACTAACTGATTTCCGGTATCCCAAGGAATCGAAATTCAGATCATCTAAACCGCTAGAACTCGTTCACACTGATGTTTTAGGACCAGCACAAACACCGTCTGGCAGTGAATACCTATACTTCGTAACTTTAGTTGATGATTGCGGCAAGTTCACAATGATTTAACAAGAAAAATGAAGTAATTTTTAAATCAAAACAATTTATTGCTCTTACAAACAATAAATTCGGGAGAACAACGCTAAAAAATTCCTCCATGAAGGCCCTTCCATTAGAAAGCCCTCGAAACTTTGCTAATCACACACACAAAACGAAGAAGTGATAACGATTAGAAAGTCCTCCACGGTCCCTCAGAGACAGATACCCTCGTGTACAAATTTAATAATTCCAATCCCAAGTAAGGAAAGTAAGGAACTTGAAGAATATCTCATAAAACACGATATAAATCACCAGCTAACTGTACCACACTGTCTAGCACAAAATGGAACGCAAAAATAGGTCTTTAAAGGAGATGACAAGATGTCTTTTAACTGACTTAGGTCAATCTCGCAGATACTGGGCAGAAGCAGTGCTAACTGCAAATTACCTACAAAATCGTGTATCTACAAAACCAAATACAAAAACACCATACGAATTAAGGAATAACAAGAAACCCAACCTCTCTCGTTTGATGACTTTCGGGTGCAATAGAAGGAAAATTCGTCGGCTACGACAGCAGAAGTAAAGGCTACAGAATTTTAATTCCTAGAGACAAAATCGATTTGTACGATTTATTGAAGACACTGGGTCTGTATGCGTCGTTTTAAATCTCTCAGCGTTACCGACGGATTATTCCGTACTCAAAGATGGCTTTCCAAATCGTTACAAATGGAATATTCTGTCAGCTCTTGATGGATCTGAAATCGTCTCAAACGATTTTTCTGCTTTACATTTTCCACCTCGAAATCGTTGAGGACGGAATATTCTGTACTGTCGTTCCCTCGACCTCCTGTTGTGCTTAATTGGTAGTGGGGAAAGAGCGATCATTAGAGAAAGATGCGAGTGTCATAAATAAAAACCTCAAATTCAGCCGTACGATCTGCTGATCTGAGGGCGATTTTCGTGCCAAACCAAAAGCTCTGTGTATGTGAAAAATTTGCAAAACAAAATTTCTTGTGCGAAAGTAAATGTAACTTTCATGGAACCCATGAATAACTTATAAAAAATTTAGCATCACCTAATTTACAAATAATTTCTTTTAACGTGGAATAAATACTTAAACAGGCATATTACAATATCTGCAGAAGCACGGAAATTTGAGATAATTTTTATTTTTAGCTGTGCGCATTGATTTAAAGTACTGTATTTTGTAACAGACCCTACTATTTTTTGCAGATGCTACTAGACAGAGCGAGTTATATGCTTGACAATATAACTGCATCAGAGTCCGGATGTTGTTGTGGCTAAGTAGAAGGCTGCAAAATGACGACAAAGAAGGATTTAGCTTTTTAGATTCCACATCTTTATTCAATTCCCACCGCAGATCATTTCCCCTTTACATGAAATTCTTCAAATTACATATTCAATAGTGATTTAAGTAAGATTAAATTTAGACTTTCCACGTCATATTTGTTCTAACAAGGGGAAGAAAAAGATGGGATGAGCAGCAGCAAGGTCTTGCAGCAACGATAGAAGAAAGGAGTCTGAGGAAAAATGGCGGGTACTCAGTATTTATACTAGCGGTTATATAACATGCCAGAATGTTCTCGAAAGTACTGGCCTGGGAAGCAAATTCTAAAATTACGGAAAATTAGTTACAGCTTGCCTGTTTGCGCAGACAGGTACAGGCCTTCTTCATCGATATTAACTGAGTTATTGACTAAATCTACACCAGACACAAGGCTTTGCTAAATTTATGTTTCATTGTGGCGCGTTTCTCTACCGTTTTGACACCCACATGTTTTAAAGTCTCCATATAGCTCCGGGTCCCCATTCATTGGCATACTTTCAAACCCATATTAACGCCACTTGCAGTAAGATCAAGTTTTTTTCCTATTTTTCCAAAGAAAGGCAAATATGTACTAACTTATTTCAGACCAGAAGAAAGGAAAGCAGTTGCTACTGGGCATCTAACCAATAGGGATTCGTCAGTAATCGAGCTTCATAGCTTGGCGATTAATAATTTTAATTTTGAGAATTGGAAAAATCAACGTACTATTTCAGTGAGAATTTACACTTATTTTTATTAATATTTACTTACGCTTGTCAAGTAATACTCTTGGTTTCTTTCCGTTCACCTTTCATTTCTCTCAGAGTGTCGCAACGTAATTTATGATAGGTATTCTTCAAACCTGGAATAAATGACGAAAAAATCTTGCGGCGTTCCCGCAACTGCTTGTGTTGTGGAATCTCTAAACCACCCTGCGTGTTATCAGTGAAATTACTAAATTGAAAAATCATTTTTCAACAATAAATAATTACTCTTTTACTTCCAGCAATTCTTTTGCATCAAGCTGTGTAAAAAATTTAGCGATTTTAACAGGGAAAAAATTACATTAAATTCTCATACACACTTCATTTAAAAGATATTTTCCCGCTCTATCAGGACCCGCCAGTGTCCGAGCGGTAAAAGTTGCTGAACACTGGTAGTTCGCTCCGAGGTTCGAATCCCGTGAACAGGTTGTCTGCATGGGCCTTTTCTCCATCTGTAACGTGTATACAGCTAGTTTCCCTTAGAAAGTCCTCCACGGAGGCATCCCTTCCTTTAGACAGATAGCCCTCGAGTCTGCCGTAATCTCATAAAACCAAACCAAACATGCTCTATTTGATGGTTGGAACAATAAAATTCTGAAGTTTTAGTTTGTTTCGTTAGACGAAGATATGTGATGAAGTTGTTTCAACATTAAATTTAAAAAAATGGTACCTTTAATTTAAAAAATAAATTGCTTTACCGTACTGTATTTTCATCTGCAATTAATGTGTGTACAAAATTTGAATTATCAGAAGGTAGTTTAAAAATCAATAAAGGTGTTTTGACCATAGCAACAAACACCTCGAGTGAACTAAATAAAAGTTTAGAAAAACAATCATCACTCTGAGAGAAGTAGCAAGAAGAATTTACGCATATTTTTAGTTATTTGAGTTGTATCACTATTTATACTTGCTCATGAGAATTGCTGTTATTTAAAAAAAATTATCATACCTAAAGTATTTTTTTTGTTCCTACGACGCTTAAAAACCTTATCACCATTTTGATAAATGGAAGGTTATGAAAACCAAAAGTTGAGTAGATACAGGGGCGTAGCTAGAGGGTGGCACCTGTCCCCGCGCACAGAATCCAAGGGGCGCGAAACTGATGTTATGACATTTTAGAATTAAATGTTTTCCATCCTTGGCAAGCAGTAGGGTGCGCGAAATCTTCAGATGTTCCTGGGCGCTGAAAACCCTAGCTACGACTCTGAGTATATAATTATAAATTTAACTATTGAATACTGTATAAATGCAACTTTTCATATTTTAGGAGAATTTTTTAGGTACTGAAGAAAAGGGATTTAAGTTAGATTGCTCTCGAAACCGAAAGAATTTTATGCCAATTTAAGGTTGCCTTTTGTCTAATTTTGATGAACGTATTTAAAATGTTAATTGTTTAAAATATTCGTAATCGCATGCGATATGATACGAGTATGACTTGATTATGGCAAGGCACATAAGTGATATCTACCTAAGAGAAAGGAGACTTTCTCTTAGGTAGATATCACCTAAGAGAAAGGAGGTGGAGTACTTTCTAAGAACAGCTCGTATTCAAGCTGTACAATGAGAAAGCCAAGAAATCTTCCAAACAATCAGCTCGCTCGCCAGGATTTGAACCCATGTCCAGTTAAGAATGTTCGGCGATCTTAAAGCTGGGCCCACAGAGTGTTTAAAATCTTGTTTAGAATTTTTTTTTTTTTTTTTTTTTTTTTTAATTCTCGACTTAGTAAGGTAAATATCATAGTATGATGGTTAGGGTTATTTGAATATGGGGAAGCACATGAGGGCTTAACTAAGGGAAAAGATGCTTTCGTGGAAGATTTTCTGCGAAAACTTGCTCGTATCCATGCTAATCATGGGAAAAACCACTAATCTCAAATATGCAGCCAATCCGTTCGCCTGGTTTCGAAGTCATGCCAAACTACTGGTATTCAGCGAAAAAAGTAAATATTACCAGACTGTTCTGTATGACTCTTAATTTAACAAATTAAAAAAAGAAAAATTAAGCCCAAAGATGCGATTTTTTAACGTTTTGTGTGCAACCTTTATTTATTAAATATCATGTTCTTCGCACTTAAACCACATAAAGTTCAATTTAACAGCAATATCACAAACAAAATATTAAAATTAGCATATCTAGAATTTCCGATACACAGTCTCGCGCGCTGGATATAATTTTTTTTTTCCATACAGTGCTGCTATTGCTCGCTTTGAAATCACCGAGTTTGTTAATGAAAATTCTTT